TCTGTATCTGTGCTCTGTGTGCAGCCTTGCAAGAGCTCCTGAGTGCATACAAGAGGCAGGAGGTGACAGCCAAGAACACGAGGGTTTCACAGGGAAGGTGTGTGACCTGTCACAGGGCTCTGGCTGGTTATTTCCTTCTGTGGGAGCTGTGCTGCTGACAGCAGCAGGAGCGCCCCAGCCACCTGCAGCCAGCCCCAGAGCCCTGACCAAACCCACTGCCAAGTGAGTCTCTTACATGACTTTCATCCTTACTGGGCATCAGTTTTCGAGGCTGTTTTCACCACACTGAAGCGGGTGATAAGCTTTTCATTCACATGAGGTCAGGATGCATGCTCATGTGCTGTATATCAAAGCTAACTACCATTGGCAATATTTCCATGGGGCATTTAAAAGTTTTTGAGGCCAAAAATACAACCTAGCCTTTTTAAAAACATTCCAGAGGACCTGTACTCACTGTCGGTAACAGTAATATGAATTGAGACAAACTCTATGGAGCTACAATATTAAAAAAGTTCAACTTACAAAAAATTGAAAAGCAGTCTTTTTTCTTCCCCAGACTCTCATCTCTAAGAGACTATGATCAATTAACCTTTAACTTTGAAAAATAAAAAAATTCCTGTGACAGTCAGAAATGAAATTCTTTAAAGATTAGGTGCTGAGAGAGCAATATCAGGCTTAGAATGAAATCCTAGTAATGCTCTGAACTATCAAATCACTTCTTGCTCTGAAAATATAATTATTCCGTAAGTGTTATGACAGACAATATTAAATGCAAAAAGCATAGCTTAAATAAAACTTTTTTCTAGCATAAATGCTCTCTGCACAATATTTTCAATGACACAGAAAAAACAAGTCAGCATGCAATTAATGAAAAACAATACTATGTTCAGTAAGAAGCATGCTTGACAAGCACTAACTTTTAGTGACACCAGATTTTAAATAATGCTGTTATTGCAGTCAGAAACAGCCCCTAAATGTTTATGATCTCCATTTCTAGTCATCTGTTTTCAGTATTACAGATCTGATTTTGCAATATTCACTGCAGATTTTGAAGGTAATTATAAATCCATGGAATATACAGCATATGTGCAGCACACAGCCTCTCAATTTATTATTATTATATTTATTGTTTTTCTTATTGAGAAATGTCAAACTGCACAAGGATTTACTTTTATTCTTATACCTAGCTTCAGACAAGTTTTTGTATGTATAATGATGTTCCCCAAATTAAAAAAAAAAATAGAAAAAAGGAGGCAGATGAAAAATCTATCTGTAAGTGAGATACCTTTGGATCTTACCATCTAAATCAAACAATTTTGAAATGACAACACAGTATAAACAGAATAATTTCTGTATATGTATTGTATCTCCACTACCGATAAAAGAGATTTTTAAGAATAAAGTGGCTGAAGAGGTGTGCACAATGCTTGCACATCTTACCTGGCACAGTCTCTTATCCTGGCTAGCAATGAGATTGCAGGGTATGTAGCTATCAATTCCACTGACATTACAATTTCCCTTTCTCAAAGCGGCAATAACCTGTCACTTTACACTGTCCTTTCTCTGACCCTCTCCCGCCTCACGGCTCATTTTTATTCTTATTGACAAGACTTATTATTCCTCCTCCCAATTCCAAGTAGCTACTCTTTTGCAAATAGTAGTATCAACTATGTGGTCACTAGTAGTATCGGTCAACAATGTTATTAATATAGCACACACTGCTGGGAGCAGATCAAACAGCCGTGCTTTAAAATATTAGTTTTGCAAAGGTACCACGAGGCAAATAATTCCAGTTTTCTTCACCTTATACAATGTAATATTGTAAGGACAGATCTCAAGAATTTAGTGTTAATTACCAGCCCAATAATTTGGAGGATATGTTATTTTTTTTTCTTGTTGCTTTCAAACACAAAATAAAATAAAACCATAGCAGAAGGGTGCTGTATCTGTGTTTAAAGAAGCAGTTGTTGGCAAACACCATAGCTCACTTCTGCTGAAATGTACACAACTGATATATGCAGCCCAGAAAGCTGGCACCAGGGGCTTACAACCTTAATTTGCCTGCAAGAAGAAATGGAGATTTACCTTCAGAGCACGTTCTTGATTGTTTTCAGCAGTCATATGTCTCATGTTGTTTGCTGAAGTCTGGTTCTGCTCTTTCAGATGATGAAGCTCCTGCTCCAGCCGTTTGCACTGCAACGAGGAAAGAATCCCATTAAGTAGAGGAGTGTGGGCATATTTTTTTTCAACAAGCCAAAAGACTTACCGTAAATAAGCCCATCACCATTTCTGCAGCAGTGAATGCATCAGACAAAAGCAAGTTACAATCCCAGACAGTACTAAAGCTATGTTTTTAAAATGTGCATCATTATTCAGTTTCTTCCTGGTCCAAAAGTATGCCAAAAACACTATATATCAGATATTTATCAGAATCTTGGGTTGAATGTTGGCTCATAGTTATGCCAATATACAGATAGATTTTGGCTTTAATGTATTAATTAACTAGATAAAAAGGAAAGAATTCATGCATTTTGAAATGCAAGCAAATGAAAGACCCTCCTCCCAAATCAAGGATCCAGCCTTTTATTAGAAAATATAGATGAAATTTTTAGACTTGTATTTTTCATACTAAGAGGTTACTCTAATTCTCTAAGATTGTTTTCTTTAAATATTTAACTTAATAACAAAAAATGAGAAAATTAGCACTTGCTACTGTGTACCTATACATGTAGACTTACTGCTGTCTGCTGAGCATTTATTTTAATGATTAAAAATCTGCAAGTTAAAAGCAAATTATATTTTGCTCTTTTTTACATTAACTCTAAAAGGTCTTGCCCAGTTCTGTGCTTTGAAAGAGCAATTAGTTGTCTGCAGACAGTTCTTTGCCTTACCAAAAAAAANAAAAAAAAAAAAAAGAAAAGAAAACAAAAAGAAAACAAAGCAGACAAAGTACCAAGAAGACATATGGGAACGACTCGACTGTTAGAACTAAGGAAAAGCAGAGTACCAGGAGAAGCATTTTACAACATATTACAAGCCAGTAGTTTGGATATGATCACCAAAGCCCACAGCTAATAGACTGTATGAACGAAAGACAATTAATTGATAAAAAATATTTTAATACACACTTTTTGAAAACATTAGCAAGTAAAAATAACAAGAATTGTGATGTAATGCCCATGTAAGCATGTAAGCATTGCTGTCTCAAAAGACCTGGAAATGTCAGTCTCTTGTGGTGTCTTAGTGACTATGGACAACACAGAACTGAACTTCCTATCATATATATGCACCCTATTCCTGAGAAATTCTTATATATGTATATGTTATTATGTTAATATCTTATATTGTCCCATAAGTATATGGGACAATGAATTCTGCCTCATGTAAACTCTAAAAAAAAAAAAAGAAAAACTGTGAAACAGAAAGCTTCAGAACTGAAAAAATTACGAATGAGGTCTAAATAAAACAACAAATGCTACATGATCTTGAGACAGAAACTTAAAGACATGCCAAGACATACAATTCTTAAACAGAAAATAAGACCTAAAAATATACTGCTCATCGGGTATCCAGTATAGTATATAAACCAGAATGATCCAATCCTCTATTTGAATAAATTTTAAAGATTTGTAGAAGCCCAAAAGTACTATTAAAAATTCCATTCACATATCTGTTGTATTTCCTTACTTCTGTTAGAAATCTGTGCTTATTTCTAATAGGATTACCTATTTTAAAGGCAGTGAATTTTTCTGGCCTAGTACATTCTCTCAATGTGTGTTGTAAACTTTCTTAATGTACAGTTTAATTTTTATTGCAAGAAAAAAATACATTTTCCCAGAGATAGGGAAATACAAAAAAAAAAAAAAATTAAGATACATTTGATTGTAAGCATTTTCATATACTTCAGATACTTAACATCTGTGTTTATCATACACCCCCCACCCCCCAAAATTACAAATCACAGAACCCCAGATGTAAATATTTTTCCATGTGCAGCATGAAAACTATTTGTTTGCAGACATGAAGGTGCTACTAGAACTAGTAAAGAACTAAACACAGATTATGTTTCTTTTTCCTCTAGCAACATTTTTTTCCTTGGCTTATGTGATCTAAACACCATTTAAAAAAATCAATCTACCACTGCAGGCACTATACATTACATCATGTGTGATCACCAGGACATTCAGTTTTCTGCTTTGCCAACATTCTTCTTCAAAACAGTGTTTTGGAATACACAATTTGACAACAACACAAATTTACAGAGTAAATATTTAAAAGACTAAAATCTCAATTTACCTTTAAAACCTGAATTTATAATCATGTTATTCTCTTGATTCCAAAAGGCATGTGAAAACATGCTATGAGCAAAACCTAGCTACAAGAATACATGAGAAAAGATCTTGGTGTATAGAGCAGACTGTACCACTGACAGCATGGGTACATCTTAATTCTGGTCTCCACTCCTGTGAAGACAGGACACTGAAATAAAGAGCAGCAGTATGACTCAAGGATCTTGCAAAATACAGAACAAATAAAGTACAGTAAAGATGCAACACAGGTAACATAAAATGGATAAACCTCCCTATCAAGTCAACCTTGATATGATTACATTTACATCAAACTTGGGAACATTTTGTACTTTCATTTCATTTCTACTGAGAGTGTTGATATCTGAAAAAAACCCTGGGGCATTTTTAACTAGTATACTGCTTGAATTCAATTTGGAACATCATTGAAAGAAATGGTGATCTAATTTGACCTTTGCACCTGAGTGTTTTACTATATTGGAAACAATACATTTACAGAAGATATTCAGATTTATTCTTGGCTGTCTAGAAAGTAAAATCTTCCATTACCCTCTTTGTGAAAGCATTATAATAATAGTCTTAAACAGCAACACTGTGTATGTCTTAAAAAATTTTATACTTTACATCTTTGATACCTGAGCTACTCTGAAAATATTAAACCAGAATTCTAAAGGTAAGCACTCCTTTTCACAAGAGCAGAAGCATGTGAAATTTTAGTGTAACTTTGCTGTAAAGAAAAGTTTTATAAATAGAATTTAAAACAATGCAGCCCTTCTATTCATTTGAGCCAACATTTTTTAATTCTGTGTCACTAGTTGTTAGCAAGGTCCAGTAAAAATAGATGTTCTTTAAAAGAACATGTGTTTTTATTGGTTCACTCCAGTCCTCTAAAATGCCAACAGCTGCAAGTAAGAACTGAATTTCCTTCTAAAAACATATATAAAAATACTTTTTGGAGCACAGAGAAGAGAAGACATCATCCAACTCAGTACTGACAAAAAGGAAATATTGGATGTATCCTTTTAAGAAAGCTGAAAGCTAAAGGAAGTGTTTAATTTGAGATACTATGTCTAAATTCTGTTATCTCAAACTTGTGAAAATTCACTCTTGGCAAAACTTCAAATAGACAATATATTTTGTGCAACACACAATCATTACCTAATTACCTAAGCATTGGATTGAGGTTTAATTTTGCCCCTAAATGCAAATTCTGATCAGTTCAACATGTTACAAAACACGGGCTGTTAATTGAGAAAACTGCTTCTCTACCTCAGATACTCTGAGTGCATCAAGGAATATGAGAGCAGTGTGGACACATGTCAATGAGAAAATGTCTTGATCAGAACACTGATGACCTTGTCAAGTAAAGGCTACTAAAGCCTCAGAATTGGTAATATAATTTTATAAAGGTATCACACAAACAACTTACTACGAATTAATTTACTGTATGGTCTACTGTGTGCACTCACAGCTCTGTAGCCAGAGAGGCAATATAGACAACTGAAGGTACAAAAAACCCCACCCCCAAAATCAATCCTGACACAGGTTTCCTCTCTTGTTTCAAATCCACACATCTGTTCTCTCTGAAGGTATTTCCCCCAAAAAATCTCCTACCTCAGCTAGCCTGAATCAGGTGATAATGTACTTGACAGACAATGAACTTCATTAAACCTACTCTGAGTGTTCCTTGAGCAACCATAACCCAGCTGTACAGTTGTCAGTACATCATCCTTTCCCAGCAACAGGGACTCAATCTTCTCTTTAACTGTATTTCCACCAAGCAAGTCTTCTAAATACCTGCAGTCTTTTGAAACAAATACCTCTACACTCAGCATAGGATATATCACAAGCAGTTAAGACACAAAATGAAAAGCAAAGCACGTAACATACCCAAAGGATAACAAAAAGATTCAGCCAGGAAAGCAAGGAGAGATAGCAAGTAAACATATCCTTCCCTCCCATCTTAAAATGTAAATTATTAGGCTACTGTTGAGTCTTTTTAAATGAGCATCAGGTAACATGATTCAGCAGAATGAGGATGTTTGTGAGAGGCACCAGTTCAAGCTGCACTGGGCGCTGACCCCTTTCAATGACTCCCCAGGTGGGAATGTTGGAACACCAAAGGGAAAATCCAGACAAATTGAAAAAGGAGCATCTGCTAAAAGGGACACTGATAGAGAGGTCAAGAGATGGACCAGGAGAATATCACTGAGTAAAGTTCATGAGGCCCACCCAGAGTGTGACCATTAAAAGACAGCCCCAGCTCCAGTTATACAAAAGGAATAAAGATGGTTTACTTTGAATCAAGTATATCAGAAGATAGAAAAATCAATGCAAATAACCACTTAATAGTGTTTGGCCTTTACTAGAAAATGAGGTTGCATTAACATATCAAACATAACTTTAGCACTTGTATAAACAAATCATCTTTAACATGCTGTCAGCTTTTCAGCATTTTCTTCTTCAACTTGTACCTGTAACACATTATCATAGTGTTACAGTGCCTGCCACATCTACACAGATTGATGAGTTATTTTTTGATCATTATTTAACATGATCCTTCAGTGAGATGTTCTCAAAGTAAAAGGTTCAGACATTACACAAAAGTAAAGAAAAACTTGCAAGCCATTGGAGAAATAATGTTAGTAGGGACAAAGATGGAATACAACAAAGCATTAACACTGAGCAGAGCAACCTCCTGTCCCCACCTATTTGGTCCCTGTGTGGTGTGTATGAAGATACCTATCCCCAGAGGTTTCATGCAGAATCATGTTTAACTCTGCACATCTTACGTCAATCAGTCTGTTCATGTGCTTTCAAAGTTTTCAAATTTTGCTACACCAGGGTCCCTCACTCTCATCTCATTGAACTAGGATGGTAATGTCA